CCTCTGGTGCAAATTACTGACCTCTGTCATCATTTTAAGTGGGGGAACTTGCACAATCGGTGGCTGACTAAATACTTTTTTGCCCCACTGTATATATGAAGAAGCCTTCTTGCCTTCTTGCATGTCAATCAGACACTAACTAGATGAAGGATTTGAGTTTTCCATTTTATTTTAAGTAACTCACACCTGTGACTGCACCCTTTTACAGTGATCTGAAAAACACTTACTTTAAGGTCTCTCATCATCATCTACCAATCAGATATTTGGACCCAATGTTAGTCCAGTACAGACTGAAAAAAGCTTGCTCAGCATTGCATCAGTAGCTAGAGGGGGAACTAACAAACAAAGTAAACAAAAAAAAAAAAAATCAAGGGTCAACAGTTTGCAGGTTTTTTATGCTTCCTACACCTAAACTTACAAGCTGTATGCAGCAGTTAGTGACGTAACTGCAAACTGTGTCTAAAGAACTCAGTTGGTGATGCTTTTGATATCGTTTGCACACACTTTTATTTATTGTTTTCATTGTGACTTTTTCAGTCCTTTACATATTTGTAGAAGAATTTTGGCCCACCCTTCTTTACACTGTTGCTTCAATTCACTGAAGTTAGTGGGTATTCATTTATGCACAGCTCTCTTAAAAGTCACACTGCTGCATTTCAAACTGAGTTAAGTTCGAGACTTTGAGTGGGCCATTGCAGAACCTTGATTCTATTATTTTTAAGTCATTCTGCTGTAGATTTCCTGCTCTGCTAGGAATCATGACACAGTTTTTGCCTAGCTTTAACAGTTGGACAGAAGGCCTCAGATTTGACTCTAGAATACGTTGGTGTATATTGAGGAGTTGAAGGCTGACTAAGGGACTGAAAGATGCCCACATCCTATTGTTGCAAAAAAGCCAAAATCATCAACCCTCCACCACCGTGCTAGACAGCTGTTGTGAGGCATTTGCTTTAGAGAGAAGAGACTGTCTCATGGCTTTCTCAATCTTTTCCTAGTTGTAGTGTTATGAACTTTAACATACTGATTGAGGCATGTGGAGTTTGAGATGTTTTTCTGACCACTGCACTGTTTTTTCTTTTAATGACGAGGATCATCTTTCTCCTAAATGAAATGACATGTCAAAAAAAAAAAAAAAAGAGTAACTAATCTTACCATCATAATATTTCAAATACTATTTTAAGAATCCAGTTAATACTTTAAGAAATTATCTACATAGATGCTGCATGCGTAACTGTAAAAAACACCAAAGCCTGCACACTCACCTCTAGGTGATCTCTACAGAACTCCAGGCCAATGTCTCCGAGGACCTTTTTGACATTTTTCCTTGCTTTCCGCAGACTGCCCAGGTTATTGACGGGGAGCTGGAACATTCTGCCTGCCTGAACAGAAAACACAAACACATCCATGCTATCAACAGGTGCAGGGCAGATTTTGGACAGGTGTCTCGTAACTGAAGCCAAAAGGTCAGGGAATAAACAGTTAGCTGAAATGCACAGTTTACTGAAATGCACAGTTTACATGATGTTACCTGCCTTTCATAAATCCTAAAAAAGATTGTGGGTTCAAAACTTCTTTTCAGACACGAAGAACACAGCTTTCAACTATTAAAGTGATGTCTTTTTTTTGTATTTTGACTTTATTATCACTTTACTGAGACATGGAAACGAGTTGTGACTGCAAAGTTTTGTGCAGATGTTCATATGATTTATTGTGACTGTATGGACTCATCTGCAAGACACTACAATTCAATGACCCAACTAAAACTGCGTCCTTAAAAAGATTCACTTTTACTGTGGAAGTTCTGCATGTTCGTCACTCAGTTAAGACTAACCCCTGTCTTAATTACAAAGGCAGTTTCCACAGAGGACACTCATCTTGACAGGGCAGAAAACACATGAGGTGTTAGCAACACTCTGAGCAATAGCTCTGCTTTATTAAAATGCCCCAGTAGGTCAGGGCAAACAATACAAGAACCACACAACTGGAGCAGGTAAATGGAATTCGGCTGTAATTATTTTATTTTTTTTTCCATAACTCACACTTGGGCTTTCTCTACGTTGACACATGCCACCAAGTTCTGTCAGAAATAGCTAGCAGCAAAGCTTTTATTCTCTCACAGAGGTTAATAGGGTGATGCAAACATGTTTCCAGAAAACCTTTTCAGACCCCAGAATAACAAAATGTAAATGTTACCCTGCAGAGCTTATGACATCGAGTTGTGGGATTTTTCATAACAGGGTTCCTGCTTTATCTCATTCATTTGCACAAGAATGCACATGGATGCCAGGATACAACTTCCACCAGGCGAGCCAGAGCTCAACGAGTTAGAAGTGTCATTGCTAATGCAAAGACAGAAGCACACAGATCCTCCCAGCTGTTATTATCAATATCACTTATCAATAAAGTGAGTCAGCCAAAGGACACAAGTGTTGTTAATGTATTTACCAAACAGTCTGATGCATCTACTCAAATCAAAGCTCCAAACTACTGAGGTCAAAGGTCACTGATGTACAACGGCATGAAGGCAGCTCAGCGACAATAAACAGCACATTCCCAAACAATTCCTGTGAACACCTCCGCTTATTTCCCCTTCTAGAAAACTCAAGTTGATTGGGGCTGTGGATTCTACCATCTGTTGGTCCAGTGAGGAGACCTTTCTGTCAATCCGCCCAGCAGCCCCACAGTTCTACTTGCCTCACATTGGTCTTACAGTGGAAACTGAGCAAAAGGGAGTGCAAGCCTCACACACCCCTGCCCACTTCCCCTCTATGTGTCTCTATCCTGTTTCCGCCCATTACTTGTAGATGGCGCTAGAGAGGAATTCCATTATGTAAGCCTCCCTATATTCTGCCTGCCCCCTTTTTTCTCCTCCCTGCCTCGCAATACCATCACAGAATGGCGCCTCCTATTGAGTCAGCAGCAGCCTCTACAATATGTCTGCAGTGGGAGAAGGGGAGTGGGGGGGTGGGGGTAGGAAGGGAGGAAGGGGAGGGACAGAAGGAGCGAGAGAAATCAGGGAAGGGGGAGGGCGAGTGTGAGAGGATGAGGTGGTGGTGGGTGAGGGAGCAGGGAGAAGGAGGAGGGAGAGTAAGAGGCAGGGTGGGGGAGTGAGTGAGGGTAGAAGGAGTGTGAGGAGAGAGATGATAGGAAAGCAGAGAGGACAGAGTGAGCGACGGAAGTGGAGAGGGGGAAGGGATGGGGAGGCAGGAAGGTTGGACAGACAGGCTCAGAGGGGAGGGTGAGGAAAGGCGGGGAAGAGGCTGAAGGGGGAGAGAGAAAATGGAAGAGGGTGAGAGAGTGGGAGATAGATAGAAGTGAAGGGGGGTAAGAAAAGGAGCAAGAGGAAAAAAGAAACAGGAGAGGCTGAGTAGGAGGGAAGGGAGGGAGAGAAGGAAGAGGAAAGGAAGGAAAGGCAATAGGAGGCAGCTCTCTGCTCTTCTTAGATCAGGGAGAAGAAAAAGGCCCCCCTACCCAATCATGGTGGTGTAAAAAAAGAAGAAAACAGGAGGCCTTCAAGCCTCTAACCACATAATTCCTCACTCAGTCCCTCACCAGGACACAAAAACCTGTCTCCCAGCTGCTGTTTACACTTCTATATTCAATGTAGGGATGAGGGCAGAAGCTTCTGGTGACATCCATGTCCACTCTGACACCAGAAAAAGTTTGAGATGCTTTCAAGCTTTCAATGCACAGTTGTATCATTGAACTTGATGCTTGCCTGCAGCACTTGCTATTACAGATGTATATGAGGTTGATATTTCCTGATCATAACCTGACTCTTGTCCCAGTCAAGTGACAGCCATCCTCTCAGCGTTTCTAGTGCATCACAACCCTCTTCTCACCTGGCTGACCTCTGATCAAGCTCTAATAATCTCTGAGGCTTCAAACCCGCATGATCTCGGGTACGGCTGTAGACATGTAAAATGTACAACCTATACCGGGTTGAAGATAACTCTGTGTCCAGTAATACAGCTACACTTTCGACACCAGGAGCCTTCTTCGCATCAAAGACCAGCAAGCCCGGCGTCATGAGCGACAGAGACAAATAAATCGTGCGCTGGGTCCACGCTGGTGTCAGTGATAAACATCTGGCAAAATCCAAATCGATAGATTTGGCAGGGAGATGCTGTCACTGACAAAGAATGGGGACACACCGCGCTAAGTTAGCATGCTAGGCTAGCCAAACTCGCACTAACAATACTGGCTGAAATAATAACAATAATAATAATAGTTCCGCCTTTTGTGCCCTTATTTAACCACAAACAACACCTGTCTGCATTTAGTTTTTGTTGGCTGCTATAAACAAACCTACTGGACAAGTAATTCAACTTGAGCTTGCGCCCCTTACAGGGAGTAACAGAACATCGACAGCCAAGTTACCTTAGCTGTAGTTCATCGCCACCCACCGCATCAGCGCAGGTAGCTACGGCTAACAGCAAACTCTCACTCCCTCAGGGTAACGCCGAACACTAAGACAGACAAGTTTACCTGCGTTCACATCCAGCGCTCCCGTCTCAGTGAAATGTGTCACCTCAGGATGGCTGAGGCGATGTAGAGACACTTTCACTTGCTCGGATATCTCCGCCAATATCCTTTAAGGTGACAGCTTGCTTCGCCAGAAGAACGAGTCGACCGAACGCGAGTCTATCCTCCAAACCCGACTGTCCCTCGCCGACAAGGGCTATCCTCTTCCCTCCGGTCGGCCAACGGGAGCGAAAAGCCTTGCAGCTTCATTAGACAATTAAAAGCTCCATTCCCTGGAGTGGTGAGGGTGGGCACATGCCTTGTTTTTGAGGAACAACTACTCGTTCAAATAAATCGCATTTAACTCTACCTACGAGTGCCTGTTAGCCTATAACGCTTTGCCCATTCTCTTCTCTGACAGACAATACACATCCAGCCTAGAAACTGCCCTATCCAAAATGGCGCAAATAAAAGGGGCGGAAGTGACATCGACTTGATTAGCATAAATTGTGAGAACCTCGCGAGGCCGGCTCATTAGAAACTCTTGATTGGTCTGTCAATCAATTTAACCAATTAAGCAAATGTCTGTTCAAAGGAAAACCCGTGTCGTCTATCAGACCTTGCGGCAGGCATTTGGTGTCGGTGTCTGACTCTGTGGGGTAAACAACCCAACACAGTATTTGCGGGAACTCACCGATAGCGGGCGTCCTACCGGAGTAGGTTTCCACCGGAGTAGTGCGCACGCGCATTCTGGCTACATCTGGCGTCCCCCACCCCCAACCCCATCCCCTCCCTTGTGGAGGGACGGATGAACACAGTGCCTCAGCACTCAGCTGGAGTGCCATGAACGACTGAGGCAACGTTAGGTGGCGCTGTACTATAGCTGCCCGAGCCTACCGAAGTGGCCGGGACTACTTTCCTGTACAGTGCCAGGAGAAGGGCTGCTCCAAAGAATAGTTCTGTTATCAGCACTCAGGCCAGAGTGTCACTGCATTCACATGGATAAAGTGAGGCAAAAGTTCTCCATCAGGTCGGGTGGATTTTTGCCCATCCTACCTTTTCACCCCATCATCGCTGTCACTCACACTCATGCCACTCTATTGTATTCAGGTTTGCTGTGGAGGGCAATGCAATACAGCAGCTGCTTGCCAGCCTTGCATGTGATATTTAATGTCAAGTGTTGATGTTCCGTCTCCTGACTGGCTGAGGCTGCGGAATGGGTTGTTCATTATGAGCTAGTTTTCAAGGGGCAGACGCAATAATAATAATGTGTTCTTCCAGTTAAAGCACATTTATACCATGTAGCAGAGCTGTAGAGGCTTGACCATTAAAGCCTCAGGAGCAGTATGTAAAAGCGTAGTGGGGAGAAATATGAGATATAATTGAATGCCCCAAACTCCTGTTTCAAGGCCAACAATGAACCTTACCATATTACCTTATTACTTACCATATGTCTGGGTAAGCCTCTGGTGAGGCACAACATCTGGCTTCTGTTTTCAGTTTAAATAAGTCGTTTTAGAGCTGGGGTTCAAAGATCAGTGAGGTCCAGAATTACTTCTCTTAATATATCGGATTCAAAATAAAGCCACATGTGCGATCAACAGTATTGAACCACTCACAGAGCTGTGATCAGTGTACACAGTTCTTGATTTTATGCATGTGAAACCCAACTCAAGTTGTTAACTAATAAAGAGACTTGGTAAAGGTTTTTTTTTATAGTCCCTCTTTAACAGGACCAACTGTATACGGAAATATGGATGATGAGTGTTATGTTTGTAAAACAAAGAAACCAACACAAAATAATAAAACACAAAATTATTCCTTTACTTGAAATTTAAATAACACAAGGGAAAAGGTTACTTAGTGGCCAAACACCATCACTGATCAACTCCTCATCAGCCTAACCCTCTGAAGAGAACACGGTCAGTTACTGTAGGGGGGTCCAAAAGTTTGGATGTAGTTACTCCACCTCCCGTTAACTCCGTTGTTCAGGAATTGGTCGCAATTCAGCGGGGGCCCTGCAGGGGGCACTGGCGACATTCTCCATAATGAAACAACTTATGTCCTTGACTTTTTCTTACACTGAAGCTCATTTTGTCCTTTAAATGGTAACATTCTGCTAATACACGCAAACTTGTCAGTAGACTCGCGTGATAACAGTGGAATCCAAAAGGTTAATGGTGTTGTGATCAAATGCATTTACAGCAATCTGAAAACCAGTAAAGAACCTACAACTGGAACTTTTTTCCCCTAATATGCAATGAAGAAATGGGAAGAAAAATATTTATTTGTTGAGAATGACAGAGTTAAACTTCCATAAGGGCAGTATAGAGTCACTACTACAATAATTATCAGGAAAAAGCCAATTTACTGAAAGATCTTGGAGGTCAATGTTCTGTGTCCAAAATATTAATAGACAATCATGTTTATTTCAGGCTTTAAACTCCTTAAAGAACATCAGTAAGAGAAGCTGCCTGCATCCCAAAAGGAAAAAAAAAATCTCAAGGCCAGTGATAAAAAACAGTTTAATTCTATACAATCAATCATAGGTGGAGGACTTCTGTGTGCACTTTAAGTCATAGGACAGCTTTTTAATGCAGAGTTCCGTCAGCTGTCTGGGCCGGGAATGATGAGACACTTTGCCAGAAACTGATTAAAGAGGATGATGGGAATGTAAAGCACTATGTTGAAGGTCTACTGACAGGGACTTCTTTTATATTTATACCTAACAGGGAGAGACGTCTCCCTTGGTATTTGCTGTCATGTTGCTGTCTGACCACAGGCAAGTGGAGTTTTTTCCCCACCTCCTCATTACAATTCTGATAGAACTATATTAAACACAGTGAGAGGAAGACTACAGGCCTGTGGATTTTACAAACTGATCATGTTGTGGCAAAAAGCATGAGCAGTCCCTTTGCGTACGATACGATCTCATTCCCTCCTAGTTTGGACTCTCCATAAACTCTGTCCACAAAGGAAATGGGTACCTGTTGGAAGAACAGCAGATTTGTTTTACAAGAAAAAAAAAAATCAGAGGATTCACTAGTTAAGAGAAGAGTTAACATTAGTTTAATTTACTCTGAACACTTCCTTTAGCTTAAAAGTAGACTTTATTCATATCTAGAAAACTGTCTGTAGGTGGGTTTGACCTAGACCTGTTTTGCATGTTTAATATACCAAAATAATAACTTCACAAATGTGAAACTGTGTCAAATTGTCTTTGCACATGGTAAATATAGATGGCTAAAACGGAACTAAAAACTAAAAGCATTTAAAAAAAAAAAAAATTCTTAACTTAAATAAAAATGAAGCTTTCAGAAAAGAAATTACCGTAGTTTTCGGGTCATAAGCCGCTACTTTTTCCCCCCAACACTGAACACTGCGGCTTATACTGACGTGTGGCTAATGCATTTTTATTTTTTTTTTCATGCGGCCAAAAACATTTTGCCTGGTAACAGTAGACCAATAAAACTGATAAGTAGTATATATACACGGTATATATTTTTGTAATGTTGTTTGTGCACTGTTCCGTAAAAAAAAACCCCTCATAAGCAACGTAATTTGCGTGTTACCGATACGTACATATACTTAAAGGTAGCCGTGTTATAGGCGCTGCTCGAGGAAAAAAAAGCATTTGCAGTATGTATTTTTGTATGTTACCATAACGTTTATGTTACCATGTTTATGTTACCTTACAGATTCAATTAAACGTTAAAAATCCTCACGTGTAATCTTTCTGTGTAAATATCTCATATTACAAGTGAAACGCATACGGCTTAAAATCCGGTGCGGCCTGTACAAGTACAAAATTGATTCTCTTTCTAAAATTAGAGCATGCGGCTTTTAATCAGGTGCGCTCTGTAGTCCAGGATTTACGGTACATGAACACTGAGATAATATTTAACTTTACCTAAACTACAGGAAGTGACTCCATAGTGTGGACATCATGGGTTTGATACCAGAAGGAGGCACAAGTTACTGCACTCTTGAGGGGTGTAATACGAGGGAAGATCAAGTGCTTAGTGAGCTATCTGGAGCTTAAAGTCTGAGGTTTCTGTGGGTGAAAGTGGATCTCTTTTTACCTGGCTAAATCACCATGGTAACTTATGCTGAACACACAACTTGCTTGGGAGCGGGTTGTGTTCAGGGTTTCGGTTTAAAACTGCCGGAAATTTTCAGATTCTATTATTCACGTCATGTTTTAAGTGCAATATAGATCCTCTGCTTGGGTGGCTTCACAGTGTAGCGGTTAACACACTTGTTCAACAGGAAAAAGGTTGAACAAAAGACTCAAATCCCTCTCTTGTTGTGTTAGGAAAGAAAACTGACGAATCACATATTGCAGAGCTACTAGCTGCAGTGACTCTTTGTGACATTGGAGGAGCTGAGAGTAGTTATTATGGATATAGAACACATTTCCTATGTGCATGTTATGGGAATGAATTAATGCATGTGTTAATTTGGAGTTAAATGTTTTTATATTTGATTCTGACCTACTGCTAACTATTTTACACTCCTGGAATTGCAGCTACTAGAAAACAGAAGTAAACAGCAACACCGAAGGCACGCTCATCATTAAAATAATTCCCTTAAATTAAAATGTTTATTTTACTGCTCTGTGCACTAAATCCCAAGATTAATAACTTCTACAGCATTAATTATCTGCAACAGTGCTGCATTTCACTCTTTTATGTTCTTTATAGATTTTGAATTACCAATTTATTATCATCGTCTAATAATGTTATTCAAAGGGATCTTTGTAAGCAGAAGAGTCACATGACGTGTCAAACACCTCGTTTTATGTGAGCACGCTGAAACCAGTTTTAGATTTTTTTCACACTAGTTAACACAATGAAAACTGGCTGTGTTGAACTTGTTTCATAGTATACCCCTCTGCTGTAGAACTCATGCACTTCTATCCACTGTGAAAATCCCTTGGGAAATAATAAATAGCCAAAAGTACGTAACAACAAAAGCACATACAAAAAAAAATAAAATGAAGAGAGACTTTCTATCACAATTAAAGCATATTATAAGTAAAACAATTCAGTGAGGACACAGTGTTTTCAGCATGAGTACCACAGTCATCGAGCCAGAGAAAAAGAGCGACTGTCATCTGACTAACCTGTAAATGTCACTGTATACCTTCTAGCAAGAGTAGTGGCTTTTAAGCTACACCTACTCTAATAGGATATTTAATGCAGTTTTTTTTTTTTTAAATTGCTCCTCTATCCTATATTTTAAAAAAAAGTCTCAAACATGCTATGAAGTCTATTTCTGTGTGTATATGACCCATATACGCATATTGGTTTTGAAGCTATGTGGTCTGGACACAGACAAAGCTGTGAAATTGCCCTAAAAACTGGTTTAAAATTTATTACAGCACTTCTAAAAGTGAGTAATGAAGCAGAATGCCGTTTGAAAGCTCCTAATAGCAAGCCAAAAACTGTAAATCATTAAAAAAAAAAAAAAAAAAAAAAGAACTCATTTTAGGGTTGTGCCTGCCAGCAGGGTCTGATATCCTCATGTTGGTGTTGTTCCC